ACAAATGAGGACATAAATTTGTATAATGACAAAGGTATGACATAGGTATTACAAGGAGAAGGTGACTTTTCAGGACTTTACCCCATGTCCCCACTTTTCAAAACGCTTATAAATCACACAGAATGGAGTGTATTGAAAATCTGAAATAGCACAAAGTTTCCTGTGAGGGGTAGGGTTAGGGGTAGGGTTGGTGTAGGGCAATAGCACATACAGTTTGTACAGTATAAAAACCATTACGCCTATGGAATGTCCCCATAAATCATGGAAACACAACATGTTTCTGTGTGTGTTTGTGTGTGTCTGTGTATGTGTAGTAAATAATAACCAGCTTTAGGTCAGTGTTATTTTAGTCTCATTAAGGTGCTTTTTAATTTTTTTCAATTAGATATTATTATTTTTTATATTTATATATTTTAATTTTAAATTTAGTTCAAGTTTTGGTAATTTTGTCGTGTTTTATTATTATTATTATTATTATTATTATTTTATTATTATTATTTTTTTTTTATCAAACTTCAATAACACCTTGGCAGTTGCATGCTGACATAATGAGTGATGTTGTGTTGTCAAAAAAAACAGAGACCCTCATCTCAAAATTTGACCGTAAGTGCACAAAGAATCCACATTTGAGATGCATGTAAGCACCAGATGAAAAAGGCAATGATTTTTTTTTTATGTCTATATAGTTTTAAGTAAATTTTATTTCAGATTTTTTTTTTACATTTCAGTTATTATGTTATATATCACTTATTTTAGTAAATTAAATTAAAATGAAATGTACCTGAAACAAGTTTAATTTTAAATTTAAATGTTATTTTTATTTCATTAATTTCAAGTAATTATTTTTGTTATGTTTTGCTGTAATGTTAGTTTTTAACCCCGCAGTAAGCTGCTCAGACTCCTTCATGGTTTGGTTCATGTTCTGATCTGAGATGCCGGTGCCGGCCGGTCCTGACATATGTATGATTAAATAATGCATGTTTCAGATGCTTGACCTTCTAAACCCTGAGGACGTCCATCATCAGACGCCAGAAGTGCCTGTGGACACAAACAGACCGTCTGCATCTCCAGAACTCATCAGCCAATGGTCAATCACATCGGGATCAATATCAGTAAATATGGACCTTCTTGTGCTCTTTACATAGGTTATGAATCCCTATGGAATATGCTAGCTGTGTTTTCTCTGTAAGAGTATGTAGACATCGAGCGGCGTGTTGTTTTTGTGTCTAAATGAGGAGACACATGGTTCCCACAGCCACGCTTCTTCATGGCTCATTCAGACTCTGGCATCCTGCTCGGAAAATCAGGAGTAATTCGTCAAACGCTCCAGGAAAGAATGCTTTGAATACTGAATCTTGTAGATAAAGTCTGTCAGGATCTTCAGTATTCACAGCTTTGAGCTCTCATGACTTTCACAGGTCTGTTCTCGGACAAAGCTCCCTTTTCTGTCAAAAATACTAGAAAAGGCAGTATCCTCTCAGCTATGTTCCTTCTTAGAGAGAAATGGTATCTGTGAGGATTTCCAGTCAGGATTTAGACCGTATCATAGTACTGAGACTGCTTTCATCAGAATGACCTGCTTTTATCATCCGATCATGGTTGTATTTCTCTATTAGTGCTACTGGACTAGCGCTACGTTTGACACTATCGACCACAACATTCTTTTGAGTAGACTACAAAATTATGTTGGCATTAGTGTAACTGCATTGTCATGGTTCAAATTGTACTTTTCTGACCGTCATCAATTCATAGCAGTGAATGACGAGATATCATATCGATCACAAGTATAGTATGGAGTGCCACAAGGCTCAGTAATAGGACCGCTGCTTTTCACACTTTACATGCTACCCTTGGGAGATATCATCAAGAAACATGGTGTTAGCTTTCACTGTTATGCTGATGATACTCAGCTCTATATTTCTTCGCGGCCCGACGAAGCATACCAATTCACAAAACTAACAGAATGCATTGTTGATATAAAAAACTGGATGACTAATCAGTTCCTACTACTAAATTCTGAAAAAACAGAGGTGTTAATTATTGGACCTATTAACCTAAAACGCTGTCTAACACTTGATGGCAGTGCTGTAAATTCTTCATTATCAGGTGTGCTATTTGATAGCAATCTTTCCTTCAAAAGCCATGTTTCTAGCATTTGTAAAACCGCATTTTTCCATCTTAAAAATATATCTAAATTATGACCTATGCTCTGAATGTCAAATGCAGAAACGTTAAAGGGGTCATATCATGCAATTTCAAATTTTCCTTTCTCTTTGAAGTGATACAAGCTCTTGGTGCATAAAGAAGATCTGTAAAGTTGCAAAGACTAAAGCTCGGGAGGCAGACACACTCTGTCAGTTTAAATCTAGATTAAAGACCCATCTCTTTAGCCTGGCTTACACGTAACACACTACACATTTCTAATATTCAAATCCGTTAAAGGATTGTTAGGCTGCATTAATTAGGTCAACCGGAACCGGGAACACTTTCCATAACACCTTGTACTTGCTACATCGTTAGAAGAATGGCATCTACGCTAATATTAGTGTGTTTCTCTCTTATTCCGAGGTCTTTGTAGCCACCAGATCCAGTCTGTATCCAGATCAGATGGTGGATCAGCACATCAGGGCAAATAAGGGAAATGTCTGTTTCCTATTATTCACTCATCCATTATATCACTTTCACAATTATTAACAGCTTTCAGTGCCAGAACGCTGTTGTAACTCTGGACTCATATTTACACTTCAACGCCTCTCAGATTCTGTGGCCTGACCAACCTTTCTTATGAGAAAATATGCTTGTTTAATTAGATATACAGTATATAAGGTAAAAGAGGATCTTGAAGAGGATCATGATCAATCGGTCAGAGGTCTGTGAGAGAAACAACACTTTGCGTGGAATGTAATTTCTCAGCACGAAACTCCCACAGACGGAGATGGCAAACAGTAGTTATCGGTGAGACTCTGTGCTGATAACAAGGCCTGTTTTGTACAGTTTCCCTCTGTTTCTCACCTCGTGTTCAACTCGTTTGTGTCGTTCCCTCTGAGCTCTACCACAAAACTCAATTTGGTTAGCAGAACATTTTCATTGCTAATTACAGTCTGTCATTCTGTAATCTTACCAGAGCGACATTGTTATTCACTGAACATTCATTCAGTGTTTGTCACCGTTTTCATTGGTCAAATTAATCACATGGTCACCTGTCAAGGAAAGTTTGGATACTTTGGCAAAATCATGGATGGGCTGACTGATCATTGGATCGGTCAGGATGTGGTTTAGGTTAGGTTAGGTTAGGTTAGGGGTGAGTATGCGTTTCAGCACTGTGATTGAAGCGACCAGTGAAATCTTCCGATGGGTTTGTGCTGAACTGGTTTAGGGGAAAAAGCATGCGACTCTAGCTGGCTCATTGATTCCAACAGTTCCAACAACTTTTAAATGAACATAAACAGGGAAAATTTGTTTGACTGAAACACTTTAGTAGCTTTAATAAGAATCTGTGTATATTTAATTCATACAGTGAACACTATGCAGTGTTTTATTTACATTTGATTATTTAATTTCTGTAGTGTTTCTGAAATGCTACTGTTAAATCTACTGTATCTGAAAAATGCAAAGCGCTGTTTATTTCAATTCGGGAGGCAGACACACTCTGTCAGTTTAAATCTAGATTAAAGACCCATCTCTTTAACCTGGCTTACACGTAACACACTACACATTTCTAATATTCAAATCCGTTAAAGGATTGTTAGGCTGCATTAATTAGGTCAACCGGAACCGGGAACACTTTCCATAACACCTTGTACTTGCTACATCGTTAGAAGAATGGCATCTACGCTAATATTAGTGTGTTTCTCTCTTATTCCGAGGTCTTTGTAGCCACCAGATCCAGTCTGTATCCAGATCAGATGGTGGATCAGCACATCAGGGCAAATAAGGGAAATGTCTGTTTCCTATTATTCACTCATCCATTATATCACTTTCACAATTATTAACAGCTTTCAGTGCCAGAACGCTGTTGTAACTCTGGACTCATATTTACACTTCAACGCCTCTCAGATTCTGTGGCCTGACCAACCTTTCTTATGAGAAAATATGCTTGTTTAATTAGATATACAGTATATAAGGTAAAAGAGGATCTTGAAGAGGATCATGATCAATCGGTCAGAGGTCTGTGAGAGAAACAACACTTTGCGTGGAATGTAATTTCTCAGCACGAAACTCCCACAGACGGAGATGGCAAACAGTAGTTATCGGTGAGACTCTGTGCTGATAACAAGGCCTGTTTTGTACAGTTTCCCTCTGTTTCTCACCTCGTGTTCAACTCGTTTGTGTCGTTCCCTCTGAGCTCTACCACAAAACTCAATTTGGTTAGCAGAACATTTTCATTGCTAATTACAGTCTGTCATTCTGTAATCTTACCAGAGCGACATTGTTATTCACTGAACATTCATTCAGTGTTTGTCACCGTTTTCATTGGTCAAATTAATCACATGGTCACCTGTCAAGGAAAGTTTGGATACTTTGGCAAAATCATGGATGGGCTGACTGATCATTGGATCGGTCAGGATGTGGTTTAGGTTAGGTTAGGTTAGGTTAGGGGTGAGTATGCGTTTCAGCACTGTGATTGAAGCGACCAGTGAAATCTTCCGATGGGTTTGTGCTGAACTGGTTTAGGGGAAAAAGCATGCGACTCTAGCTGGCTCATTGATTCCAACAGTTCCAACAACTTTTAAATGAACATAAACAGGGAAAATTTGTTTGACTGAAACACTTTAGTAGCTTTAATAAGAATCTGTGTATATTTAATTCATACAGTGAACACTATGCAGTGTTTTATTTACATTTGATTATTTAATTTCTGTAGTGTTTCTGAAATGCTACTGTTAAATCTACTGTATCTGAAAAATGCAAAGCGCTGTTTATTTCAATTGCATCTTGTATTTGTCCTATTGTTTGTTATTTGCATCTTTGCTCTTATTTTCAATAACAAAACTATTTTGAAATAAAATCTCATATCAAATCTCATTTTGTGAAATCATATTTGGTCATATCTGCACTGCAGTGTCTACTGCTGAGTAACTTGAAAGATAAACATGTTTTCATGAAATGTGACATTTGTTTGAAAACAACTGGAACCGATTAATAACTGAGTCACTGAATCATGATCGAAGCAAATCGCTCTATTACTGTGTTTATGTCGGAATGTGCTAAATGCACTTGTATATTTAAAAGTGTTTTGAGCACTGACTGAAGGGGCATGTAAACATTAATAACATTGTTTTTATTAGTAGTGGTAGTAAACTGGTCAACAATATTAGGCTGGTCATGTGACGACCCATAAAGCAGCTTATTCTATTAAACTGACGTGTGCATTTAATGATATTTCTCATATTGTTCGTTTCTTAGTGAGTAAAGTTTAATTCACAAAAACAAAACAAAAAACACTAGTGTAAGTTTCATTTGGAACAAGGAAGTATCGCTTCATCATCAGAGATCAGAGACACCCTTACCAAAAAGTAGTATACTTCAAGTTTATTTTATTAAGTATACTTAAGTAAATTTCAAGTATATTTTTAAGTATACTTTATGTAGTAAGTATACAAATATCAGTGTACTAGTAGTATACTTGTAAGTGTACTATTTCAATACTCCTTGGGACTAAATTGGCCCACTTTCTAGTATATAAAAGTATACTTTCAAGTATAACAGTAGTAAACTTTGAGTACACAAGTAGTTTACATCAATATTTTTAGCTTGTACTGCAACTATACTAAAAGTGAACTTATAGGTATACTGATAGTTTTCTAATTAAATAATTGTAGTAGCATTTTAGTACACTTTGAAGTATAGTCTCAGTAAACTACTAGTTTAGTAGTTTTATACTGCAAGTATACTCGTACGTTTTCTTTAAGTGAACTT